TCTCAAATCTAAAAGATGAGCAGGCATTATGTTACAAAAAAGCTGGAATGAATTTTCTTCTTCCTTGTACCCACTTTATAATTTCAAAAGCATCCCAGCAATTTACTCAGAAAAACACACACATAGGTTTTAATTATCATTTATGGATGGTGATTGGTTTGATTTTCCACACCTATCTCAGCTAAATCTCTTTGAAAAACAAATGTTTGCTCATTTTTAGCCTGTCTTATGGTAGAGAAGTTGGTCTGGGGGATGGGGTGTAATTTATGTTGGAAGATCAGTACTATTTAAGGGCTTCAAGATGGATGTCATCCAGCTTTGGTGATAATGTTTATTTTCCGTTTGTCAGTAAGGATTGGGCTAGTATCTCTCCCCACCATGATTCAGCAGAGGTCAGATGAGACACAAATATATCTGCCATGCATCCTCAGCAGTGAAGATGCAGAGAATTTACTTCGTTTATCTGCAAACTCATTTATATTCTCTAGTCCTCTACTTATCTTCCACTCTCCTTCCAACCTAAGTTAAAGAACTTTGCATTTTTTTAGATACACATTTCTAAATAAGCTGCCCTTTGGATATGACACCAAAAGACATTTTTATTTACAAGTGGAAGCGACACCTTTTCTTTTTTTGTAGGAAAGTACGAAACTTGGGTTGGTCATTAAGGTTGAAGAGAGGAGGCATTTGTCTTGTTGTTGTATATGTGTCACAATCTGAAAGATGGCAAGCACAACATCTCATCTAAACTCACAAGTAACAAATAGATATCCACCCTAATTAAACCCTCACACATAGAGTGTATCTACACTCCCTGACTAGTCCCCATAGGAAGGTATGTGTGTCTATGTTAACATACATGTACATGGACAACAATTATCTTCAACTCTTGACTGTTCCCCTTGATATAAAGGATATATGCACAAACACACACACATCTGCATTCTCTGATTAGCTCTTGAGGACAAAACATATAGACATGTCAACACACATTGGCAACACATATCCACATTCCCTGCTCCCTGAAGAGAAAGTCTTGGCACCCATGTACACACACACCACCCATTATTAAGTTGCTACCCAGAAGAAAATGCAGATGCCTCTTGTGGCCATGCTGGGAGGAAAGAATTGGAGAAACAAAAAGAAAATAGAAGAAAATTCATTAAAAGGTTACTTTAAGAGCTCCAGTGCTGGTAAGTAAATTGGTTGCTGGATATAAAATAACGCAGCTCTCACATGACAATTAAGGAGAACTTCTAGTGAATGAATTAATGAAGCAGCATTTAATCAATTGAAATCATTTATTTGATACGATCACTTCAAGACATCTTTCTAAGACCCATTAAATTCAATATGGATCGTATCTTCTCCGCATCTCATGTATCAGTTGGTCTCTACTTTGAATACAGATGATAATAAACAGAGTGGGATATTTTTATTAACATAATCCTCATTTGGTGATCTCAAGTAAGACTGATAACTTGGTCATCAAGCAAGCTGTGGTCAATAAGTGAAATATCACATGATTGTGGCTGTGCTTATGGTTTTACTGCAGTTTCCTTTGCTTTACAGCAGGGGTGTCAAACTCAATTTCATTGAGGACTGCATCAGGCTTGTGTTTGACCTCGGGAAGAGGGTGGGCATGGCCAGAGTGTGTGATGGCGCCTGCGATGGCCCAAACGGTCTGCCAGCGAAAATGGGCTCCCAAGCTCCATTTTTGGCTGTGATGGCTTCCTGCAGCCCCTTGCCATTGAAAACGTAGCTCAGGAGGGCTGCAGGCAGCCCTCCCAAGCTCCATTTTTTCTGGCAGAGGCACTGCAGGCTGGTCCTTTGCTGTTTCTAGGGTAGCCCTTGGGCCAGATCTAAGCACTCTGCAGCTGGATCTGGCCCCTGGGCCTTTACAATGTCAGAAAGAAACAACCCCAAATAGCCAGGTGAGCCCAAATGACAGGGAAGGTTTCTGGAACTCAACTCATGAGGAAGCTGGATAAAGGGGTTAATTTATAGCCCTTTTCCTTCACTTCCTGCTCTTTGTAATGCTCATCTTGGAGCTGGAATAACTAGCAAGAAGAGAATTAATGTTTGCATTTACATACATTGGAGAGGAAGGATTGGAATAGAGTAAGGAGATAGACCATGAGAAATGCACACTGAAAAGCATGTGCTAGCCCTGGCTTTTTGCCTAGCACATTCCTGGTTGCCAGCCACCAGCAGCTTAGGGGCAAACAAAAGCCTTCCGTGTGAAATTGACTAGGCTTGTCAATTGCAGGTAGCAGCTGCCAGCTCAATTAATTAAGATCAGGGTTGAGCTGGTTAACATGCCCTTAGGATTTTTGAGTGATACAGGAAAAAAGCAGCTTAGGAAGATACAGAATCAACCTTGTGAGGGAGTCAAGAGAGCAAGCACACCCAGGTGAACTAATTCTGCTTTATTGCAAGATTGCATTAGCAGTATCTGGCAAGTGGAGTTATCCTCCATTACCTTTATAGATGGAAAAACTAGGGAAGGCTATCCTTTCTATATGTCTGTTACAAACTTGGTCTGTAACTGTATGTTTATTTTATGGATGATTTTTACATGAGTAAAAGATAAAGTATGTTTAATAACATCCTTAAAACAAAATTAAGGAAAAAACATATAAGAAAAATGAGAAATATTACAAATCAAGGCAAAAATATTTTTTACTTCTGATTACAGCGGTTACAAATCAAATTATGTCTCCTCATGTTTTTAAGATTCTATCACACAATTCCCCCATCTCATATTCAACTCTTTTAATCAGCAAATCCAGAAATCACTTTTTTTTCCAATTTTCAGCAAAAAGTCCATAAAAAAGCTTCAAGTCTTTTATAAAAAATACTTATTTTGTTCCTGATCAAACAAGTTGATTTTGCCATCAGAAATTTAGGCAGAAAAAGGTGAACTTCTCTGGGGATGCCATCAAATATATGTAGCTCTTTCCTTTAGTATATATTTATTTACTTTGAAATAGACCTTAAGGACACATATTTGTTGTTGTCATTATCATTAGAATTTTAATTAAAGATGCCAAATTAGATTTTAAGTTATGGGAAAATCTTTGTGTTCTCTGCAGTTGTTGAACTGAACAAGGGTGTTTTAAATGCTCCTTTAATTTAAACTGCAATTTCTTTTTATTCTTTTGAGATATTGCTATGATATTGGTTATGATTTGTCATGAGAGGGTTGCTTGTTTGTTTGTTTTTTTTCCCTCTGAAAGGTGACATTACAAAATTCAGAGGAATTAAATGAATATCCATAGCGATTATGCTCAGGAACATAATCCCATGTGACTGTAAAGTTGTGTGAATAGTTTATTTAAGCTTCCAAGTGTTTAAGGGTTCTGGATTTCTTCCAAGCCTTCTCTTCTATCCATTCAAGAACATAACAAGCTTGCCAGATACTCCATATCGTTAATGACTACCTTTCATTTCTTGAACTCTTTCAGAAACAGTGATTGCAAAAGTGAATTCTAGTTTCTAGTTTCATGAAAATCTAACAGATGTCCATCTAGGTTAATTTTCCCAAGGTTTTCCCAGAAGAAGAAATTGTTCCTTGCCCTTCCTCCCTCCCCCCTTATATGTAGTTAGAGGAGAAAGCACTGAATATGCTGTAGAATAGTAGTCTCCAAACTGCAACTTTAAAAATTGTGGCTGGCTGGGGAATTTTGGGAGTTGAAGTCCACAAGTCTTAAAGTTGCCCAGTTTGGAGACACCTGGTTTAGAACATTAACAAGTTTGAAGAGGTATGCATTTCCATTCCCAGAATTCCCCAGACAGCTTCTGGGAATTAAAATCCACATCTCTTAAAGTTGCTGAGGTTGAGAAACCCTGCTTTAGGCCATATGTTAGGTTGTAGATCTTTCTTCACTGCTTCCCTAATTGTAAAGAAATAGAAACAGGTACTGAGTGTTTGTGGTATCAAGAATGAGTTTAAAAAGAGCTTGGCTGGAGCCAATTAGCTACAGTACTGAATGCAAAACTTTATAAAGTATTGTCAATCTACCACCATTAGAGATTCTAACAAAAAACTCTTAACACACCAGTTAACAGAGGAACACAAAGACCTGGTGAAAAGCAAGCAAAATGCATGTTTCCAGTTTACAGGTAGGGCATATTGACATTAAGACTAGGAAGTATTTGCACAAAGGGCCACCAGTTTCCTTTCCTTTATGCTAATATTCCCCAATCTTAGCTATTTTAAGATATGTGGGCTTCAACTTGCTACCTGGGGCTCTGGGAGTTGAAGTCCACACATTTTAAAATGGCTACGGTTGGGAAATACAGTTTTTACTTGCTGCTGCTCTTAAAAGTCGGAAATGTTGTGAGACAGACTGTTGCAAATCATCCAAGCCACAAACGGAGAACAAACCCATCAGGACAAGATTCAGCAGTCGATCTGCATTTTAAAAGACAAAGGCCACTCTTTTGAAGACAGCAACATCCACATTTTGGACAGAGGACTGCTAGTTTGAAAGAGGGGTCAAAGAGGCCGTCTATGTCAAAATTGAACAGCCCTCTCTCAACAGAGAGGGAGGGGTACAATGTCATCTCCAGTCTACAACACAGTCCTTTCAACAATCCCAAGAAGGCTCCACGCCTATTTCCACCACTCAGGTGACCCTGAAGAGACAGATAGACCTCCAGGTAGCCTCAAAGACTTTCTAAAAGCATGCAAATGACCTGCTGTCGGCAAGGAGTATAAATCCTTCCATTCCCCACCATCCAGTCAGAACTGAAGAAGCTTCTCAGATGAGAAGTGAAACCAGAGGTGGGATCCAGCAGGTTCTGACCAGTTCTGGAGAACCGGTAGCAGAAATTTTGAGTAGTCCAGAGAACAGGCAAATACTACCTCTGACTGGAGATTTTACAGTATCCTTCCCCTGCCACACCCACCAAGCCACGTCCACAGAACCGGTCGTAAAAAAATTTGAATCCCACCACTGAGTGAAACTTCTTCAAAGAAAAACTAGAAAGTCCAGTTGCCTCTTAAAAAAAGACCTTTGGGACATCCAAGCCACTTTCTGTTTATTTCTGTTCTCATGGAGGTCAAAAGCCCAACCTATTTCCCTCCTGTTGAACTGGGCTATACACCAGTAGAATTCTCAGCTACCAGAGTGAGACTATCTGAGTCACTGTCTTTCATGATTGTGCCCATTGCTAGGGCAAGTCCTGGATTTCCAGCAATGCTCATCCAAGCTGGTCCTCTCATTACCCTTCCATCTTCACTTCTTACTTTGCATACTGTAACTATTTCCAGCTTCTCTTGTTCTATGCACATTATGTCAATCCAGTGCTAAGGGTTAATATACCAGTCCTTTTCTGTGTAGATTCAAAATAAGATAAAACTAATGTTAGTCTTTGTTACTGCATTATTCCTAATAAAGTGGCTTAAACTTAAACATGAATATGCCCTTAGGGTAGGGGTGTCAAACTCCCGGCCCATGGGCCGAATGCGTCATGTGCTGACCATGCCCACGCCTGGTTTAGCGAAGGGGGGAAAATCCTGATAGGTCACGTGATGCCACCGTGATAACGTGAGTTTGACACCCCTGCCTTAGAATGATCACGCCTGCATTTATTTGGGCATATTAAACTGAAAGGTAATCCTTGACTTACAACCATAATTGAGTCCAAAATTTCTGTTGCTAAATGAGACATTTGTTAAGTGAGTTTTGCCCCATTTTATGACATTTCTGACACTGTTGTATAGTGAATCACTGCAGTTGTTAAATTAATAACATGGTTGTTAAGTGAATCTGGCTTCACCATTGACTTTGCTTGTCAGAAGATCATAAAAAGCGGTCACATGACCAAGAAGCTACTTTCCTCAGTGCTATTGTAACTTTGTAATATCACTAAACAAACTGTCGTAAGTCATGGACCCCTTGTATTAGCACTTGCAAGGCCAACATGGAAAAGAGAAAAAGGAAAGTATCATTTTTGGGGACTAAATATATTGCATTTCCTATTGCATTTCCATGAGCCACGTTCTTCTTCCCCAACAAAGGAGATAAATGTCTTCTGAATTTTGAATCAGTTTCTCCCTACTGAATATCCTGCAATTTATCAGGGTGCTTATTTGTACTTTGCTAGGTAAAACTTGCTATTATAATCTCACACCTTGTGTGTCTATTTTTTTCATAAAAACACCAACTTTATATAATTTATGACAATGCATGTCATTATGATCAGATATAAATTTCAAAAGGAGAACCCTCCCATGAAAATCATGCTTGACAACAATTTGAATGAGCTATAAATGAATTTATTTACATCCTGCCTTTATTGCTTTTACAAATAAGGTGACGAACATATCCAACACACCTTCCTTCTCCTTTTTTTTTTTTTCCAACAACAAGCTTGTGAGGTGAGTTTGACTGAGAGAGAGGGACTAGCCCTAGGTCACCCAGCTGGTGTATATGTGTGTATATAAATATTTGTGTGTGTTGATATTCTGAGTAGCAAGCTCCTTAAATGGAAGCTGAATGGAATGAGAATTAAATGGACACATAGGAGGTCAAAGACCATATTCAAGTAGTAGATATGAGTAGATGCTCATAAAACTGGAGATATTCAGTTGGGCATTGTAACATTTGGTTGCCTCAGCCTCCTACTACTATTCAATATTTTTATTAGTAACTTGGATGAACAGCTGGAGGGAATGCTTTATAGATCTGAAGGAAGAGATGATGACTGGGGATGGAATATGGCACATTTTCAAAAACTGAAGGACATCACACAGAAGACAGGAAACATCTCCTTACAAAGTCTTACATATGACACATTATACCTTATCTGGGTTAGTCTCAGAGGTGGTATTCAGCAGGTTCTGACCAGTTCTGGAGAACCGGTAGCAGAAATTTTGAGTGGTTTAGAAAACCGTCAAATACCACTTCTGACTGGAGATTTTACAGTATCCTTCCCCTGCCACGCCCACCAAGCCATGCCCACAGAACCGGTAGTAAAAAAAAAATTGAATCTCACCACTGGTTAATCTAATCTGTGATAGACTTTTATGCACACCCTCTATGGATGATTGTGAAAAACCTTATGGATCGTGCATGAAGTCTGAGAATATTCCAGTCTCTTAGGAATTAAACCTATTTTACAGATTACGTGTCGAAGGGAGAGATTAAATAAATGCGGTAAAAGCTTCCTCTTCTGCCTACATGTTATTTTATTGGCAGGAGAAGGGAGCAAGAGTGAGAAAAAAAACACATTTCTCTGACTTTGTTAAAACATTCAGAAATTGATATGCCGAACTACAGCAGGAGCAAATTACCCATCTGAAGGAAGGCCTCTTGTCTAATGGATGAATGAGATGCTCTTAGACATTCTTCCTTCTCTTCTTATGGTTACGGCCACGATAATTGATTTGTTTTGTGCCATTTCTTTTTGTAATTAAAGAGAATGACTTTCTCCAACAAATGTTAGAGTTCAAAATTATTTTGGGGGCGGGGAGAGTTCCACACTGATAGCCTTGTTGATGTGAAGATATGTTAATGGTCATAAATCACAACGGGTATAAAGTAGGTGACTGATCCAGTTTTACTTTTTCTTCTTTGCGTGGTCATTAAATGAATCACAGACACTAAGCAAACTGGTTGTTCGCTATGGGATGTTTTTGCTGAAAACCAGAAATAAACTTCATTTTGGGGGCAAAAATGTAAATTGCGGTCACGTAACCACAAGACACTGCAAACAGTTGTAAATGTGGGCAGGTGGCCAAGTGTCTGAAATGTCACATGACCAGCAGAGGGGGAGGGGTCTTTGGAACTTTGGAGCCAGGATCTAAGTACCTTTTGTGTGTGTGTCGTAATTAAGGGACCAGTTGCAAGTCAAGGACCACTGTATTAGATGGGGAATGGAGCGTGGCCTGGGAGCAGGCAAGAGTACAGTGGGAAACTGCCATTAGGCCTCAATTGGAGAGACAGGCCGTACGGCAGCCTCCTTTTCTTTCAGGCCTGACCTCCACAGCGGAGTCAGGAAAGTCAAAATGGGAGTTGCAGCAGTGAATTACTGAAATCCCAGACCTCCAGAAAGCAAATACAAATCAAGCACAATTAAAACAATACAAAGCTCCTTTTGACAGCTTTTTTAAAATTGTATTCTTTTATTTGAAGTCAAAATGAAAAATAAAGGTTTGTTAAGGAAAAGCGACATTTTACGTGGGAAAGGACAACACATCTGAATAAGAAAACAGAAGAAAAAAATGCAAACTGTTGCTGCTATCAGAAGAGCAAGTCACAAACATGCTGTTAAGAAGCTGGTCCGTTGCACAGCTGCTTTATTATTATTTCTCTGCTTGGTTTTAAAACATTTTGGTGTACAAGACGAGAGGCAGTTATAAAAACAACACACAGTCCTTCCTTTACAACGAGGCGCGACTATTTGGAACGCGTTTTACAGAAACTGTAAACGCTCACCTTGATTCTGTCAGGTGCAAAGAGGAACTCTGGTAAGCATAGACAACCAACCAAGCAAATCCCAGAGCATACATTGTGGTCCATGCAGAAATGCCCCAATTCCATAAAAGACACATGCACACATACTAGGTTTTCTTTGAGTGGCATGGCTTTGGAGGGGACGGTGTCATGTATGTCACCTTGACGTGACAACTGAGAGCGTTTTCATGTTTTGTTTCCTTAGGCTGGTACATGCAATGAAACTGTCATCTTTGGAAACCCGAAAAAGGAAGGACACATTGATAGTAGAACACTTTTGGCTTTCGTGTGAACCTCCTCGGCTGCTTTATTTTTTGTACAACCCTGTCTGTGGTTATTGAATCAGACTAATGAATTTGAAATGTTCTCAGTGGTGGTTTGAAGCCTACAGAGTACATTTCTTAGAGTGCTGCAAAGTGACTTTAGTAGAAAATCTGTTACCATATATACCGACGTGCAAAGGCTCAGTTTGGAAAGGAAGAGGAAGCAACATTATGTAGATGCACCAATTTCATTTCATGGCTCACTGTTCTTCCATATAGCTCCCCTGAATCTCCCTGACTGTGACCGAGGACTGCTGATGGGGCTCAATCAGCACTCGGCTGATCACGAAGCATACAACTATTGTCGCAGTTTTCTGTGAAGACTATATTACATATAGTACTATTTTCTTCCATGGTTGACAACATCGTCAAACTCATGGAAAAGGAGTGAGAACTACCCTGTTTCTCCAACAATATGGCCTCCCCCAATAGGAAGACCCAGCATGTTTTATAGGCATGAAATGAAATTAAGCCCCTCCCCCCAAATTAAGGCCTATATTAAAATATGCAAAATGGGGGGGGAATGGTGGGGGGGGGGCTTGCCGTTAGGAAGTACTTTTGTTGCACACCCAGATATGGTGCTGCCTGCGTTGACCCCGATATGAAGTGCCCCACCAACGCCGAGGTCAACATCCAAGCTGTCGCCGCCCACCCGCCCGAAGATGCAAGGGGGGGGGGAATTAAGTCACCCCCAAAAAGACGGCCTAGCCATTTTTTCGGGGCTCAAAAAAAAATAAGACCCAGCCTTATTATATGAGAAACACGGTAGTAATCAAACAACTTAACGGCAGACGATAAGAAAGCGAACTGCCACAACTTTATGCCAAGTCTCTCCAGATTTTTCTGCCTTTGCTTTTCACCACTTCATATCCTACCTTTTCTTCTTCAAAATTTTCACCTCTCAAAGTGAGGATATTGTCACCTCTACCCAACTATGATTTTCTGAGTCTTTCCCATTCTCTCAACGTTATGGCTCTTTTTTCAAGCAATATCCTGGAGAATCTCTTTTCTCCTAACGAATTCAGTAGGATACATGGGGGCTTTATTTTTACATTACATGTTTGAACCAGATGAGGTTGAGTTACAAAAAAAACCCAACCCCTATCCTTTTATGATCCTGCATGAAGTATGAAAATACAGATGGAGGAAGGCATCCAGAAATGTATAATCAGTGATGGGTGTGGTAAAACTGCTAATTTATGCCACTGTGTCATGTGGGGTTG